CCCACACTCCCCTGTGCCCACCCTGACCCCCGCACTCCCCTGTGCCCACCCTGACCCCCGCACTCCCCTGTCCCGCACTCCCCGCCGGGCCCAGCGCCCCCCGATCCCCGCAGGCCGCTGCTGCCCGGCCCCCCGGGGCCCCTCACGTTGCGGAAGCAATTCATGCACAGGGACTCGATCTCTGCCGGCTGCTGCTCGCCATCCTCGGCGCTGAGGGGCCGGAACAGGGACCCCCCGGGCGCTCCGGGCCCCGCTCCGGGCCCGGCCGCCGCCTCCATGGCCCCCAGCGCCGACATGCTGCTCCGTGTCACGTCACGGCGCGCGGCGGTGACGCACGGCGATGGCGCGCGGATCACGTGACGCGCGCGGGCCGCGATGGCGGCGCCTTTATTTGCGTTCAGCCACCGAGCCGCCCCGGCCCCGCCGCCCCGGCCGGGCCCACCCGCGCCTCCCCGCCCTCCCCGCCGCGCTCGCTCAGGCTCAGCGCCAGGTCCCGCCACAGCGCGTCCAGCCGGGCGCGCAGGTCCTCCAGGGGCGGCGGCGACGCGTCCAGCGGCTCCTCGGGCGGCTCCGGGCGGGCGCTGAGCTTCAGCCGCATCTCCTCCGTCTCGTGGTCCAGCGCCCGGGTGAAGGCGCGGATCTGGGCGTACGTGTCCTGCCGGAACTCCTCCACGCGCCGCTGCACCTCCCGCGCCAGCGCCTCCCGGGAGCGGGGCCGCGCCCCGAGCCTGCCGGGGTACGGGCTCAGCTTCGCCTTCAGCTGCTCCAGGCTCCTCTGGATCTGCTGGTGCAGGTCCCGCGCGTTGCGGGTCAGCTTGGCCGACAGCTCCTGGATGTGCTGGTTGAGCTGCTCGGGGCTGGCGCGGGCGTGCGGGGCCACGCTGCGGTGCAGCTCCTCCACGTTGCGGCGGATCTCGGTCAGCAGCCGCTCCGTGTACGGCTGGAAGATGTCCTTCACCTGGTCCGTGTGGAACGCGATCTTGTCGGCGTAGGGAGCCATGAAGCGCTGGAGCTCGTCGGCGCCGTCCAGGAGCTGCGCCGTCACCTCCCGGCTGGGCATCAGGTGCCGCCGGAGCTCCCGGGCCCGCAGGGACGCCTGCTCCAGCAGCTCCTCCGTGAAGGGCCGCAGCTGCTGCCGGAGCTCGTCCAGGTGCTTCCCGACCTGCTGGTGCACCTCGTCCACGTACGGGGACAGCTTCACCCTGAGGCTGTCCAGCTCCCTGCGGATGGCCTTGCGCAGGCTGGCCGAGTCCTCGTAGAGCGGCGGCTGCAGGCCCCTGTTGAGGGGCGACAGCTTCTCCAGGAAATCCCCCATGTAGCTGACCCCATCCTGAATGCTCTCCTTCAGGTTCCTGCACGACACAAGTCACCAACACCCCCGAGTGACCACAACCCCTCTGTGCCCCGCACACCCCCAATAAAAGCTGTCCAGGACCCTTCCCTTGTGTCCCCGGGGAGGGAGGAGCAGGGTCCCGGCCGTGCTGGGGAGCGCGGGGCGCTGCACTCACGTCAGATCCCTGCCCAGCTTGCTCTGGCCGTACTCCAGGCTGTCCTTGTCACCCGTCAGCTGGCTCAGGTACTCCCAGAGGCCGCTCTGCGCCGGCTTGGCCGGGGACACTGCGGGCGGGAGCGGGGCTTGTGCTGCCGCCCACCCTGCCCTGCTGCCCCCGTGCCCGCACCCACCTGGGCAGCCGGCCAGCAGCGAGAGGAGCAGCGCAGCCTTCAGCAGCATGGTCCGGCTGCAGGAGAGAACGGAGAGGAGCTGTCCGAGCGCTCACGGGGTGCTGGCGCGTCTTCTGCACGCCCCCTCGCTGCTGCCTGCAAGGACCCCGCTCCTGGGGTCCGCTTTGACGGCCGGAGCTCCCCTGAAAACTCCTGGGGCTCCCCGAAACACCTCGGGCCCCCCGCAACCCCGCTGTTGTGCACCTGGAGCCACACCCAGCTCCTCCGGCCGCATACACTTGAAGCCCCCCGCCCCTCACCTGTCTCGGGTCGCCTCCCGCGTCCCTCCCGCCCGGAGGCGGACGGTGGCCGCACTTATATAGGCTCGGGGGGCGGCCGAGGAGCGGGCGATAAGGCGGCTTTGGTACGGGAAGGCTTTTTGGACCTCACTCCGTGTAAACACAACGTGGAGGTCCGAGCACGTTCCGGGGAGGTGACCTGGGGGCCGGCCACCTGACTGCCCGCTGCCCCCCGGGCTCGGGGGACGGGGCTGGCCCTGCCCCGCCGCCCATCTCCGCACCCCGGAGGGAATGCTGGATGGAGCTGCCGGGATGGGGATGGGGACAGCGGCTGCAGCTTCAGTCGGGGGGAAAAGGGAGCTCGGAACCCCCGGAGCTGGAGCCGCGGGATGGGTGCGGGAGGGCGAGCTCCGGCTGTGCGGGAAGGGCTGGGATGAGCGGGTCGGGAGCGCACCTTCCCTTTCCGCGGCTGCGCTCCCGCCGGCCACCCAGCCCGCCGTGCTTGTGTCCTTTCCTTTGCACGCCGGTTTTTACCGGGACTGAACGCGGGCGCCCTGCGGTGGGGGCGAAGTCCGGCGCTCCCGGGGTGAAACGCCGAGCAGTCGCCAGCGCTGCTGCGGCACCAAAGTCCGCTCTGCTCCCTCGCCTGGGCCGACACGTGAGGTCGCTCCAGGCAGCGCTGGCCGTGCCTCAGCTCGGCCCGGGATCCTGCCAGCAGAGCGCCTCAGTCGCCTTTCCCTGTCACTGATCCGCGGAGCTCCCTTGCTGCGCTGCGGGGACGAAGTGTCTGTCACCCCCCGCAGATCCCCGTCCCTCGTGGCATCCCCACCGCAGCGCGGATGCTTGGCCGCATCCCGGGGCTCTGCCCCTCTGCAGCCACCTGGGTGCCCCCGGCTGTGTGAGGTGACAGCGAGGCCCCGGCCCCGGGCTGGCCCATGGGCTCACCTGGCTGCCACCGTCTGCAGCCACCACAGACACCTCCCACCTACCCGACCTCACCTCTGCTCCCTCTCCCTGGTGCCCCAGAACCCAAATTCGGGGCGATGCTCCCCTCTCAGAGCAAGAGAGGGTGCCCCAGCTATCCCATCCCGGGGTAGGACAGCGGGATGCTGTGGGAAGGAAGGACACGGACCAGCACGTGCATCACAAGATTTATTTCTGCCACTGGAAGCGGCCAGGAGCGCTTGTAATGTGTGTGGATGGCGGCCTGGAGTGGCTTAATTCTCTGGGGGTGGGACGGTGCTGAGGAAAGCAGCCACCTTCTCCCGCACCTCCTTCTCCAGCAGCTCCAGGTGATCTTCCACGCCGGCAGCGCCCGAGTCCAGCTTGTCGCGCATCTCCTCCAGCCGCTGCACCAGCTGCTTCCCGAAGGTCTCTCCGAAGGGAGCCGCCTGCTGCCGGAAGGTCTCCAGCGTGTGCCCCACGCTCTGCTCCAGCTGCTGGGCCAGGGGAGCCAGGCGCTGCCGCAGGCTCTCGGCATCTCCGCTCGCCGCTTCCCGCAGCTCCCGTGCCAGCGGGCTCAGCTGGGCGCGCAGCTCCTCGGAGCTGGTGGCCAGGCGGGTGCGCAGCTCCTCGGCCGCCCGCTCCATCTGCACGGTCAGGCTCTCCAGTTGCCGGTTGAGGCCGTCCTGCACCTCCTGGGCGTAGGGGCTGAGCCCGCGCCGCAGCTCGGCCACGCTCTGCTCCACCTGCGCCTTCAGCTCATCTGCCATGGGCGACAGCCGCTCCTTCAGGCTCTCCACGCCGCCGTCGATCTGCTGCTGCAGCCGGTCAGCGTAGGGGCTCAGGGAGGCCTGGATGCTCTGGGCGTTGTCCTTCAGCCGCTCCCGCAGCTCGGCCGCGTAGGGCTCCAGCGCCCGCTGCAGCTCCCCGGCGCCGCTGTCCACCCGGGAGCGCAGCTCCTCGGCGTACGGGCTCATCTTGGCCTGCAGCTGGCGGATGTTGGTGCCGATCTGCTGGTGCACCTCGTCGGCGTAGGGAGCCAGCTTGGCCTGCAGCTGCTGCAGCTCCCGCTGGATCTGCTCCTTCAGCCGCTGGGAGTCCTGCACCAGCCGCGCCTGCAGCTCGGTGGCAAAGGGCACCAGCCGCTCCTGCAGGTCCTCGGCGTAGGCGCTGACGCTGTGCAGGTTGCTCTTCAGCAGGGTGCTGCAGATAGGGGACACGTCAGGGCCCGTGCGCCCACACCCCCGGCCCTGCCTGGCGCCCCCGGAGCCCCCCAGCCCCCCGCACTGTGGCTCGGCTCACTTGAGCTGCTTGCTGATCTCAGCCTGCTGCAGCTGGTCCACCGTGTCCTTGGCATTGCTGCCCAGCTCCGTGAAGTACTTCCAGATCACGCTGGCCACCTCGTCGGGGTTCACATCAGCCCGTGAGCCTGCAAGGGGTGCTGGGATCAGCGCTCACACAGCCCCGTTCCCCAGGGACAGCGGCGACATTCCCCATCCCTGCCCCGGGCCGGGAGCACCCTGCTGGCGCCAGGGACCCTCACGCCACCTCACCTGAGATCGCCAGGAGAACCAGGACAAGGGCTGCCGCCTTCGGCGCCATCCTGAGCGCTGGGGACTCCTGTGGAAGCACAGAGGGGAGGTGAAGGAAGCCCCAGGGACCAGCAGCAGCCCCCCAGCCCCCTGCCAGAGGCGATGGAGACCCTGGCTCCCTCCAGCCCTTGCAGCTGCTCACCTGTGCTGCCACGGCTGTGGTACCTGCGGAGCCGGTGCTCCCAGCGCTATTTATGCAGCCTGAGTGCTTCTGCGGCTTCCACGCGGGCTGTGACACAGCAAGGGCTTGGACTTTAGCACGGTCACAACGTGGAAGTGCCTGACGTGCGCACGGGCCTGACATCACCCAGAGCCCGGACACCACCCGCGGCCCCGCCAGCCCCAGCGGGGTGACAGGGACAGGCTGCGATGGGGGCGCGCAGGACACACCGAGCCCCTCCCGGGGACAGCGACCCTGGGCTGAGGGGACACCTCGTGGCTCTGTGGGTGCAGCAATGACCCCACAGCTCTGGCAGTGCAGTACCTGGGATGTGTGGTTGTGGGATGGGTGGCAGTGGGACAGGACACGGGGGCTGGGGATGCTGCAGGGACCTCCCAGCTCTGCCACCGGCTGTGCTGTGCCTGGGCTGGGCAGCGGGGCAGGACACGGGCTCAGGGGGACGCTCTGATGGAGCTGGGGGACACACGAGGCTGTGCACAGGCAGGATGGCATCGTTTCTTCCCAACCCAGGCTCCTGCAGGAAGCCCTGGCCCAGAAGAGGCCCGGACGCTGCAGGGCACTGCAGCCCCCCGGTGCCTGGGAACAGAGCAGAGACCCGGGCGTGTCCCTGCCCGTGGGCATCGTGCTCTCGGCGCACACCTGGGCAGCCCCCGGCCCAGCCCACCCCCGCCCCGGGGGCGATGTGTCACAGCGGGCAAAGGGCAGGGGCAGGGACCAGCCGGGCAGTGGCAGTGGCAAGTCCGAAGAGCCTCGCGGTGCCCGAGGCGGTCGTGCCCGGGGACAGGGCCACTGGATGTCACCCTTGTGCCGCGTGTGCCCAGGGCTGTCCCCTGCCGCGGGCACCGGGATGGCTGCGCACACGCGTGTGCACACGCACAGTTCTGCCCGGCTGTGCGCGCACACGGACACCCCAGCAGGCTCCGGCCCCGAGGGATTTCCCAACTCCTGGCTGGACGCGGCGCCCCTGCAGCCCCCCTGCGCCCTGCCCTGACCTTTGCACAAATCCCCCAGGGCGGCCGTGGGGAGGGTATAAAGAGAGAGCCCGGGGCTGCCCCCGCGTCACAGAGCCCGGCACAGGTGAGTGGGGACATCCCTGGTGAGGGTCGTGCTGGGAAGGACACGGGGTCGGGACCCCCGTGCCCCCCCCTGCTGCCCCACATCCTGCGCTCTGCTCTCTCCCCAGCAATGAAGGCGCCTCTGCTGTTCCTGCTCGCCTGCACGGCCGTCCTGGCGCTGGGAGCAAGTAAGGGCTGCGCAGGAGGAGGGGTCGGGGCTCAGGGTGTTGGGGGGCTCACACGGGGGGCACAGCCGCGGGGCCCGGCGGCCCCAGTCCCACCGGGCTCCTGCTTCCAGGGGCCGACGCGCCCGAGCAGCCGAAGGCGCTGGTGCAGAAGGTGCAGGAGCTGGCCCAGAAAGCCACGGCCATGGCCAAGGACGCCTTCAGCAGGGTGCGGGAGTCGGAGGCGGCGCAGCAAGCCAGGTGCCCCCGAACCCCACCAGCCCTGTCCCTGTCCCCGTTCCCCGGTGCCGGCGGGGAGCCCGGCCGGGGCCCCGCGCTGACCCCCTGCCCTCCCCTCCCCGCGCAGGCAGTGGCTGTCGGACAACGCGGAGCTGGTGAAGCAGCGGCTGGTGTGGCTCAAGGAGCAGCTGGCGGAGCTCTGGAAGAAGACTCCGGCCGCGTAGCCTCGCCAGGGGCTGCCCGGGGACTGTCGGGGCTGGGGACCACCCGGGCCCACCCGCTGTCGCGGTGCTCTCAATAAAGCGGGGCTGACGCAAACGCTGTGCTGGCATCACTGGGGGGCTGGAGAGGAGGAGTGCGAGCCGCGGGGAGAGGGAGGGCTGGGACAGACACCAGCACTGAGGTACACACGGCCGTGTCGGGGTGCCCGGGGTGGCAGGAGCCGGGTGCTGCTTCCAAAAGCTCCTCTAAATTCAGCGCCACCGTACTCCAGCGCCCTGTGTGGGGCTGGGCGCGGCTGCACCCCGGGCAGAGCTGGACTCGGTACTGGGCGAGCTCAGGGCGCCCCTCACCAGCTCTGTGTCCCCCCACTCCCTCTGGGTCCCCCAGTAGCCCCAGCTCAGAGCACCCTTGTCCCCTCCAGCATCCACTGCAAAGACTGAGCGAGCTCCAATAACTTAAGTCAAGTTTATTTGTCAAAAGGGAGGCAAAGCTGAGAGCGACGCCGGGTCAGGGAGGGAATTCTAGGGGAGGAGGGGGTCTCCGGGGAGGACACCCTAGGGCTGGGCTGGCCCGGGACTCCTGCAGCCTGTCCCCAGAGCCCCCTGAGGAGAAGTGCCCGGGGCAGGGCAGGGAGCACCCGGGGCGGCTGCGGAGCGGGGCTGGGGTCAATCCCTGGCCGCGCCGGCCGGCAGCTCAAGCCACGGTCTTCTGGAGATCCTCCAGCAAGGTGAGGAAACGGGCCTTGAGGGACTCGGTGTAGGGGGTGAGGCGCTCCTTGAAGTCCTGCACCAGGGGCGTCATCTTCTCCCGCAGGTTGCTGAGATGCTCCACCACCTTGGCCTGGTATTCAGCGGCCTGGGGGATGCCCTTCTCCCGGATCTCCTCCAGCTTCTGGCTCAGCTTCTGCCGCAGCTCATCGCTGAAGGGGGCCACGTTCTTGCGCAGCTCCTCGACGTGCCCGCGCAGACGGTCCCGCGCCTCCTCGGCCACCGGGGTCAGCTTCTGCTGCAGCAGCTCCACCTTCTGCTTGCTCAGCTCCTTCAGCTCCTGGGCGAGGGGTGCCAGGCGCTGGCGGTACTGCTC